CAGAAAGGCTGACATTTCGGGCCTAGACCCTTCATCAGAAAAATGATGATTTTTCTGATGAAGGATCTAGGCCCGAAACGTCAGCCTTTCTGCTCCTACGATGCTGCTTGGCCTGCTGTGTTCATCCAGCTCTGCACCTTGTCTCTCTATCACCAAGGTCTGTCTTTCTGGAAGAAATCTACACCTAATTTAGATTTGAATCTATTGTAACGCTTTCTACCACCTTCCCAGGGACATCTATTCCACTTGATCACTGAGACATCGTCTCCATCAGAACATGTTTCTCATTCTTCTATTGGCCTTTTTAAGAAAAGTCTTCGGGTGTGAAATGTTTATGACCTGGATGGGCAATTGAGGCCCTGACTCTGAAGAGCAGGGGTGGCTGGATATCTGATGCAATGAATAGGTGCAGCAGACTGTCCTGTGTTCCAAGTTGTGCACCATGATACTTCCAAAATTGAAAGCCAATGCAGTGAGGCTTCAACCTGGAGACTGGATTGCCATTCATTGCACAGACAGTGGTATTAAAATAAATTGGCAATTGTCTGACTCATCACTGTCCTTTAGAGGCAGTGTTGGAGGAAGAGACACTTGCCACTGGCAACTGAGCTTGCAGTCTTTTTAATGTTGGTGAAAGAATTACTGTGTGGGAGACGAAGAGGTTTTGTGGAGCATACTGTTAATACGTGGAATGCATTGCCTGAAAGGGCAGCAGATTCAACAGGTCCTCTTCCAAATGGGATTGAATGTATAGCTGACAAAGGAAGAAATTGCAGGGCTCTGGCAAAAGATTAGTAGGACTAATTAAGCTGGCTCAGTGGTTAGCATTGCTACCTCTGTGATGCCATCCTCTGGTGACTGCAAACTCCACATGTTCTCCCCATGTCTGCATTGGTTTCCTTGTGCAGGCCAAGTGGGTTAGCCATGGGAAATGCAGGATAGGATAGGATGCTGTTCAGAGGGTCACTGTGGACTTGATGGGTTGAATGGCCTGATTCCACACTGGGATTCTATGAACATCTTTCAAAGAGCCAGCATTGATCTGGAAGGCTGATTAAGTCAATGCTGAATGATAGCAATATGGCAGGCATTCCTACATGATTCTAGTTTATGTTGCTGGTTGGTTTAAAAATTCCCAGTCAACAGCATGAATCTAACTTGCTGTTTTTATTAATTAATAATAGGCTTTCATCTGGCGAGGCCTGATCAGCTTAAATATTCCTTAATCTTAACAGTTGATATTTTCTATTATTTTAAAACATTATGGAAAGTCTGAAATCTGGTTCTTTGACATTCTTCCCCACGATCAGGTCTTGGGGGAACATGTGTCAATGTGGGTTGTATCCCAAAGAAGCTGATGCATCAAGCTGCAATTCTGCACCAGAACCTAGAGGATGCCAGGAAATTTGGTTGGACATTTGATGAGAAAGGTCTGTTAAAATAAGACTTGTCTGTGAGAATCAAAGATTGCTTTAGTACACTTTCATATTTGTTTTTTTGTGTATCCAAGATCATTTATTGTGATGGCATTTTCACACCCTCTGTTTCCAGCCAGTTCACCTTTTGTTCAAAGCCCCATCCATTCTGTAATCTGTTCCTCTGGTATTCCAACACTCTTTGAGTAGACCACCCTACTTCCACATTTCTATAACCAAAACTCCTCAAACTCTAATCCTGTAATCCTAAATTGTACCAGTTGCCACTTGCCTGTCAACCCACTACTTGCCAGCCTACAACTGCATTGTCAGACTTGATATCTGTTTTCAAAGTCATCTTTGATTTTAAATTCCTCTAGGACCTCGCACTTCTCCCTACCTCTGACCTGTTCCCTTTTTTTGTTTGAGGTGTGTGCTCCTCAGATTTTGGCCTCCTGCATGTTCCCAGTTTTTTATTGTCCTGCAGAATTGGCAGCCATCTTGTCCCCCATCTGTCTGAGTGGGCCGGTAGTTAAACACCCCCTCCAAACAATTAGGTACTAGTTGGAGGGTTGCAGAATACTAGCCTTTCTGCTTGAATGAGTTGAAATAGGACACATTATTATTCTTGCATTGCAGTGTATCGGTGGCACTTAGCTGTACAGTGTACCTCTGGCTGTACAATCTGCAATTTGGATGTGCTTTAAACTAGCTGTTGGGGCAAAGCTTTAAACAAGTGCAGGAAGGACCAATAACGAAACCCTCTAATATTTCTGATGGGTCTAGGCCTGAAACGTCAGCCTTCCTGCTCCTACGATGCTGCTTGGCCTGCTGTGTTCATCCAGCTCTAAACCTTGTTACCTGTAATATTCCCAGTGGATTGTTGTAAACAAGTCAGATCCCAGAATCAAAATCCAGCTTGATTAAAATTGTTAAATTTTGGTTAACGTGACCATTGACAAGAATTTCTTTAACATTGTTCTTGCCTTGTGCAATAAACAAATTTTCTAGCTAGAACTTGTTTTGAAAAATCTTAACACCCTACAAGACAAGTTCAATCTATTTCCCAATGCTACCAATCTAGTGATTCAAATTTAAATAGATTACTCCTATCAAATCTTTACATTCAGGCTAGCTGGTTCTCCATTCTTTCCTATGAACGGTGTATGAGATGATTAAAATCATTCAATAGAGCTTGGACTTAATCTTTTTAATAACTTACAGAATTTTTTTAATGAAACACTTGTGGTCTAGATGCAGAAACTAAACTTTTCCTATTGTCCTATCTGCTTTTCCTGAGCTGTTCTATGCTGCTTTCTAAGGAGCAACACTATTTACTGCCCTTGCTCAAGTCTCCTCCCAACTGTCCTAATCTCGGTTTTTCCAAACTAAAATGGCCTCTGATTTAAACCCAAAACATTCCAATATCTTCAATGTTTACACTATTTGTTGTAAACCAATTTAATACAAATCATCTTCCATTTAATGTTCCCATGGGTGCTTTGTTTCCTGATTATACACTGGGTTAGATCATTGCCCCAGCAAGTATCTAACATGGCTTGTTAAAATGCTTCCAAAAAGTAACCAACCCCTACAATACCACTTTAAAATCCTAACTGTGAACATGATGTAACCTTCCAACACCACTATTCCAAACTAACACATTTTATGACAAATGGCATAAATGCCTGAACTTCCACTGCTACACTTTAAAGTTTGGGTGACCTTTTTTGTTCAGAGTTCTGACTAAGATAACAAATTACACAATGGTCTTTAACAGTATATTTGTTAACTTGAGACTGATATCCTTTGGATGCAAAGGATAGTGGTGTTTGGAAAAATTGGGAGTACTCCAAATCTGTCTCCAATTCTATGATCCATCACAATCCACCTCTACCTTGCTAAACTTGTACTTTGTCACATTTGAATATAATTATCAATGCAACAAAATGACCTGCCACCCTTTAGTTCCCTCCTTGGATATAAAGATTTCAATGCTCAAAGATTCTACTTACAAAGTAACATGCATTTGTTTTCTCAACAGTTCATCATAACTGGACAACCATGAAAGATGCTATTAATAATTACATAGGCTCCTTGAATTGGGGCTACAGAGTTTCTTTGAGAGACAATGGTGTTACCTATGTGAATGGTTACGGAGAATTTATTGGACCTCACAAGATTAAGGTACCAGCTCCATGGATTGTAAATGCACCAAATTATTTCTAGGGTTGTACTAGTGAAACCAACTTGAAGCTTTCTCTTCAAGCAAGAGGTCTCCATATCTATCACCTACAACAAACCATCCAGGGTTCTTGGCAGTGCTTCCACCCTCTCAAATGGGCAAGAGTGCCATTATCTCCAAGCCTTCCATCTTGACTTGGATGTCCATTACCATTCCTTCATTTGTTATTCGGCCAAACCCTGGACCTCTGCATCTAACAGCGCTGGAAGTAGTCTCACCATTTGGTGGAAATTCCAACACTGGTCCTTGTTGCACGCTCCACACAATTGCTTGGTTTTCCTCTTTCCATCGATGGCTCCATATCTGATGCATTCAGATGAACATATTGCCCAAACCAGCATGAAGGTGGTGAGTTATCCTGAACCTCTGCCACCATGTGGTGTGGTACACCGTGCTGTTGGGGATAGAGTGTCAGTATTTGACCCAGTGATTGTTCCAAGTCAAGATAGTGATTTTTGGAGGTTGTGTTCCTGCGCGTCAACTGCACTTCTAAGTGTTAGTCACTGTCTTGGCATTGATTTGATTCTCTTTGACAGACTTGCCTCAATCTTTATCAGACTGACATATTTTGAGGTGTAGTGAGACTGAGCAGATCTAAAATACAAACCCTGGGGTGTCTCCTGAAGTGGCTGGGAAGTTACAGCTCTCAGCTACTGAGAAATCACTTGCTTTGTGACTGGCTTGTGCCTCTGTCTGTTACCACTGCTGTCTTCAGTAGGAATGCCTGATCACACCTGCCCTTAACACTTCTGGGAATTCTAGAAGTATTTCAACACCTCATTCTGAGCCCTTCAACTACCGACAGCACTGACTGATCAAGAATATCAATTTTGTATCAGTCCCTGTAAAGTTGGTAGCTTTTCCCCTTCCAGTTTGCTGACCCATCAGCTTTCATTGAGCATCAGTCACATTTTAAATACAGTGAAGTTTTAGAGTGCAATGTGGCCTTATTGCATTTTACTATTGAATTGGTCTGGTTCAAGGAAAATTAGACAACTTAAGCATTGTTAGGGGATGTTTTTCCATTTAAAGGAAACGTTTGGAATGCTGCAAATCTATGCACGAGGAGACCTGCTCTGCCTTTAGAGATCATGGTTGACCCTTGACTTTGTTATACTTGCCTTTGCCCCATCTCTCTCCCTCTAAACAGCTTGTTACTCTAACTTATGGTTTCAAATCAGAAACCATTTGTACCAGAGTCCAAAATGAGGGGGGTTTCCTATTTTTCTATAAGACTTTGAGACTGTGTCTCCAAAAGTCTGAGCCAGCAGAAATAACTTTGCACTCACTCTCCCATCCCCCTTAGATTTTAAAAAGAAAATCCTTCAATGAAATTGTCTCTTGACCTTCTAAATTGTAGAAGTAAAGTGTCATTTAATTGGGTCTTGTTTTTAACCTTGAGTCCACTTGTGCTTGCTGTAAACTTATAACTGAATCTTTTGGCCCTTCTTTTTAGGCAACAAACAAAAAGGGGAAGGAAACCTTTTACACTGCAGAAACATTCATTGTAGCCACTGGAGAGAGACCTCGCTACCTGGGAGTGCCTGGTGATAAGGAGTACTGTATCACAAGGTACTGTTGCTGACAAGTTGTAAATTGTGTATTTACACACAAATATACAGTGCGGGCAGGAAGGAAGAATAGCTTAGGTTGTCCGGCAGGAGCAGAGTCATTCATCAAGTATGATTCCCAAAGTCACCGGTTGGGTAGGTAATTTGGGTCACCAGTGACTGCTATGGAGCTCACCAGCCCCCAACCACATTGGGTGTTCTCTTCTCCATTCTCACTACCCCCCTCCCCACCCACCCTTTTCTCAGGGGTTGTGACCACTTTCAGGCCTCAGTCACATTTGGGCCTAGACTGTTCTGGATGCTGGATTCAACCTCACGTAGGGTAGAAATGGCCAATAGTAATGGACAGAGTTTTTAAAAACAGAGCTCTCTAAAGATGAGGCAGGTTTTTTGAGGGTGGTAAGTGCCCAGAATCTGTTGCCAGAGGAGGTAGTGGGGGTAGATCCAATAGTAACATTTGAGGCATCTTTCCCGCCTATGAGTAGGCGAGGGATATGGACTGCATAGAGTTAAGTGTCTTAGCTCAGAAAGGCATCATGTGTAAGCACAAGATTGATGAGACAAAGGGCCTCCTATGTTGTACTGTTTTGTTCTAGTTACTGTGAAATGAGTCAGATTATCACTTTAAGAACCCAGCAGAGGCAGAGCTGCTGTCTTTTCCAGATCTGGTTTCCATGTGACTGTAGACCCAAAGGGTCTGAAGTCACATGGTTCCATTCAGCAAGCTGCTTGCTGCCACCTTTAAAACTTTTTCAGGATGGTCTAGAATGGCAATAAATGTAGGCCTTACCAGCTGCACCCACATTCCCAGAGAACCCTCTTAAACAAACCACTCTGCCCCTCACCAATGAGCTGTTGGCTGAAAGTAGCATGCTGTCCACTTGAATTCCACATCTGAGCTCCTCAAAGGAAACATTTTTAATGTTCCAGTAAACGGTTGTACTCGCAGTGCTTCTCAGGTTGAAGGTGTAGTTCAATGAAACTGATAATCCAAGGTGCACTGATCATCTTCAGTGATTGGTCAATCAATTCAATGTTAGATTTTACTGGGGTATAGTAGGGGACATTGATCACTGGGGCACCGCTGTCTGTTGAGCAGCAGCTGCTGCTCAATCTCCACACCCATCTCCGTAGAGTTTGCCTTGTGGCCTGGTCAGAGCAAGACCATTGCTGGTGGCAGCAGGTAAAATGTCTCTCCATCATTTTAAAAACATCACAGCACGCTGCTCATCTGGTCAGTCTGGTTTTGCAAAAATCCCAGTGTGCTAGAGTGATGTTGGAGCAGTAGGGAATTGTAAACCCAGAGGTGCTCTCTTTAGTGAAGACATGTATGTTCCCACTTCATGGGAGTTGGGTATACTTCAGAGTTCAATATGGTTCCTGAATTCGTAGGTTTGGTTCAATGGGAGGCGTATCCACTAGAGAGCACTGTAGTAATGGTCTACAGTAATTATAGTTGTTATAAAAGTCAGTTTGAAGTAGTGTTCAGAAGTTAAAATTACTGCTACTACTTTGAAGATGAACAATATTAAATTTTGAATGGCTAGGCATAAATTACATGAGCTGTCTTTCCATCCCAATTCCATTCTTCAGTGTTTGGAGCAATAGGTAACGGTCCAGCATTTGGAAGAATAGGAGGGAATACTGAAATGCAGATAAGAGACCTGTCCTTGGTGACTGCTTAACTCTGCCATTGGCATTGCAAAACAGATTATCTTGTCTGTTTTTATTCCCAGTTACTGTTAGTGGGATCTGGCTGAGTGTTTTCACTTGACTGTGCAACACCTTTTCAAATCATAGAATCCCTACAGTGTGGAAGCAGGTCATTTGGCCCATTGAGTCCATATCAACCCTCTGAACAGCATCCCACCTAGACCATCTGCAACCCTACATTTCCCATGGCTAATCCACCTAGCTCGGTAAGTTAGCATGGCCAATCCCCCTAAGTTCCACATCTCTGCACTGTGGGGAGGAAATCCACGGAGAATGTGCAAACTTGAGACAGTTGCTGGAGCCTGGAATCAAACCCTTGTCCCTGGTGCTATGAGGCAGCAGTGCTAACCACTGTGCTGCCCTCTTTGGTGAAGAGCACTATATAAAAGAGGATGTTTCCCTCACTCTGCCTTTTTCCCTCATTGCCCATTCTAGTGATGATCTCTTCTCGCTGCCTTACTGTCCTGGGAAGACCTTGGTGGTTGGAGCATCCTATGTTGCACTGGAGTGTGCGGGTTTTCTTGCAGGCCTTGGGCTGGATGTGACTGTGATGGTTCGCTCCATCCTGCTGCGGGGATTTGACCAGCAAATGGCAGACCTGGTTGGAGACTACATGGAGACCCACGGAGTCAAAATCATTAGGCAGTTTGTACCAACTAAGGTAAGCTTTGTAACCATTTTTAGCTGGGGGGGTGTCTCAGATGGAGTTGGGGCATGTTGAGGACTGATATTACCACTTATGTTGTGGTGTATGAATTAATCTTGAGGGTTAATGTTGGAGGTTGGGTGGAGACTGTACAGATAACAAGCGTGGGTGAGGAAATCGGGGAAAATAGCTCTGATCTTGAAGGGGACAAACATTGTATCTGCCTCCAATAGATTCCATAACAAATAGCTTATTGTATGACAGCATTTAAATTACATTCAAGGTAAGAGCCTTATCTTGAGGTTTGTTACTGGCTGTTCTTACACTGAGACAAACCAAGTTCTTTATCTTAGTCAAGGAGAGAGGTTTGGCATTATCCTTCATCCACAGATACCATGGTATCCCTGTATGTTGTCTTAATTGTGGTGTTGGATTTGTAATCTAGAAGTGCACAAGATGCAAAACATCCCAACTGACTGGATTCCTGTTATGTATTAAGTGGTAAAATTTATCTGTCAAGTTGCACTTAACTGAAAGAGTAGTTTTGTCATGGTCTCAAGTTCAAAATTCTGTGCAGAGACTTGAATAGAAAGTGAGTATCATCTAAATGGTTATCACCGATAAGATTCTTGATGGTAGACAGGGTGATGGAGTCTTATTTTTTGGACTGGAGGCCTGTGACCAGCAATGCTGACTCTATTGTTTGTCACTTGAGCAACTTGGATAGGAATATAGGAGGTGTGGCTAGTATGTTTGTGGATGACATCAGCTGGTGGTATGGTGGACAGTGAAGAGGTATGAGATTTCAAAGGGATCTTGATCTTGATCAATTGGGCCAGTGGGCTGAAGTGAGGCAGATGAACTTTAATTGGATAAAGCAGTATTACATCCTGGTAAGACTAGCAAGGGCAGGATTTGTACAGTTAATGGTAGGGTCCTAGGAAGTTCTGTTGAACAGAGACCTAGGGGTTCAGGTACGTAATTCCTGTGACACCATCGTCCAGGTAGACAGACAGGGTGGTAATGATGTTTGGCACACTTCCTTCATTGCTCATCCATTGAGTACAGGAGATGGAAAGTCCTGTTGTAGCTGTACAGGACAATGGTGAAACCTCTTCTGGAGTACTGTCTCCAGTTTTGATGGTCCTACTATAGGAAGGATATTATTACATTGGACAGGGTGTAGAAAAGACTTGGATGTTACTGGAAGGTTTGCTGTAAAGGTAGGCTGGAACTTCTTCCCTGGAGCATAGGAGGTTGAGGGGTGACCTTTTTAGCAGCTTATAAAAATCATAAGGGGAACAGCAAACCCTCTTCCAAAGGGTGGGGGAATCTCAAAAAAGGGGCATAATTTTAAGATGAGCAGAGATTTAAAAGGGACCTTGGGGGCAACTACTTTCCACAGTGGCTTGTATGAGGAATGAACTGCCTCAGTGGTGGATGCAGGTACAGTCAGAACATTTAAAAGACATTCGGATATATGTGAATAGGAAAAGTTTAAGGGGATATGGGCCAAATGCAGGCAAATGGGACTAGTTTTAGTTTGGAAAACATCAGTGTGGGCAAGTTGGACCAAAGAATCTTGTTTCCAAGTGACGAGTGCTATATGGATGTTTAAATTGGAGCCTTGTTTGGTGGGGTCTTTCCTCAATTTTACTCGCCAATATTTCATTCCTCAACTAAATAACTAAGTGGTTCTGGGAATTTGCTGCATGCTGCTGGTTGTCCAACTAGTTCCACTTTAAAGTTGATTTTGGGTCTCAAAAGTAACTTAGTTGTAAAACACCTGGATACTACATAAACAGGCTCTCCTTGAGATCACACTTTAAGCCATTGAAGTGAAAAAGGCTGAGGAGATCAGATGGAGGTTTTCAAAAATGTGTGCCAGGTGGAGGTGAAAGGGGTAAAGCTACTCCAGTTTGTAAAGGAAATGTGTAGATTTAAAGTAACTTGCAAAGGAAGCAGGAGAGACTTTATCAGTTAAGGCTTGGAATGTACTACTTGGAAATGTGGCAGTGACCAGTTCAGTGGAGGCCCCTAAGGATTGGGTGATGGTTTCTATCCAAACTTGCAGGTGTGTGGGGGAAGCAGGAGATAGCACTAGGTAATCTCACTTTGGAAGAGTTTGTGCAGATAATGGGCTGAATGGCCTGCTTCCGTGCCAAACTTGTGGTTTGTTTTTGTAGTAGTTGATGGCATGGGTTGGAAAATTTAACATTTCAGGTGATTGTCATGCCAAGAACTAAAATCACTGAAATAGCAGGATGTAACTGTTTTTGTTCTAATGCATGTTACTTCTGTCCTCCTTCCTGTTTACTAGATAGAGCAAATTGAAGCTGGAACTCCAGGGAGATTGAAAGTAACAGCTCAATCTACAGATGGCACAGAGAATATGGTGCAGGAGTATAACACAGTAAGTGATAAAGGATGAAACTGTGTGGACTGAATGTCAATAGAAGCTTGCATTGTGCTTTGCCTGGATTTGAGAAGTGGAAGTAGGTCAAAAGATGTAGCTCAGACTATTTGACCTGGTTGCTCAAGACTGCTGTTTCTGCTCCAGATGAGCCACCATGTAAATGACAAGCTGTCTGTCTTTTTCTTAAAATTCCAAGGCAAGCAATTTTTTAGTGAAACCTGTGCTGTTTTTCTCTTTAAGGTATTACTGGCAATTGGGAGGGACGCCAGCACTAAAAACATTGGCTTGGATAACGTTGGAGTAAAGGTCAATGAAAAGTAAGCTAACACTGTCTTACAATCCTAGTAACTACAATTTCAGTCTTCTGTGGAGAATGACTTTTGCACAAAAGAACACTTCCAAAAATGTTCAAGACTCTAGTCTCTTGTTCCATTCAAGTTTGCTATGTAAACTTGTCCCTACTTTTGCAGGGTCCTGACCACTAGGTGGCCTGAAACCTCTCCAGACCCTTGCTGAAGTAAAAATGGGGAGAAATAGGATTTGAGTATTCATTCCTCTAACTTTTTTCTAATAAAGCTTCATTGTCACCTGTCCCCTGTTATAATTTTAAGCTTGTCTTTTAAGGTAAAATAGAACTGTGTGCTTTTAAAATTTGATTTTGATATCCAAACTGGAGAAACTCAACAGCTCTGGCAGCATTTGTGGAGAGAGAAACAGTTAACATTTCAGGTCCAGTGACCTTTTTCCACCTACTAGACCTGGTCGAGGTTTTGTTTTCCTTTTGGGCTCCAACGGAATTAAATTTTTTTGCCCAGAAGAACCATTGCTGCCTGACCTCTGTCTTCTCCAAATTGGATGCCAAGTTTAAATGAAGAAAGTCTACCTGTTTTCTTTTCATTGGACCAGCTGTGGCTGTAGCTGGGAGCATTCTGTCCTTTTTGAGTTGAAACATTGTAGGTTCAAGTCTCATTTCACCTCCTGTGAATGAAAATGTCACGGTTTTTTATGGGGTGGGGGGCATAGTGAGGTTAACCCCAGTGTCCTGACCAACCTTCATCCCTCAATCACAACCCCCTTGTTATTTAATTGCATTGGACTATCTTCAATAATACCTGAAGACTGCCAACCACAAAACGTTCATATTTACTATTAGTGAACATAACACTAACTTATTTCCAAGCTACTTTCTCTTAAATGCTCATCAGTCTGTGTTTCTTTCTAAACTAGTACAGATTACGATTAGTCCTTTTTATAGGATTTGTCAAGGTGATGGCCTATCACCTTGCTGTTTGTGGGAGCTTGCTGAGTTAACTAGTGTAGTGCAGGAAAGGTAGCAACAACGACCACATCTCATGAAGCACTTCATTGCCTGAAATGCCCCTGCATGTCCTGTGCACTGAAGGTGCTACATAAATGCAATCTGGGGAAGATGAATCAAGGCTAAGCCCTCTTGTAAAACATCATTGACACCACAAACTGACTAGCTCTCAGCTGTTTGTGAACAACTTTCTGATGCATGACGTTGGCTTTGTTTTTAAGTGAGGCTTGTGTGGAGGTTGCATTCTGTAGTTATGCACCTTTGGTTCACAGCCTAGCCTCCATTCCCATTGTAACTTGATCTTCTCTCAGTGGGTGTTTCTTTTTTTACAAATCTGAATTGTTTGAACTGAGCTCTCCAAGTAGAGACTGACAGCGTTTGCTGAATGGCAGTTACTAATGCCGTAAACATGGTCATTTAGACACCACCTGTGAACTATCCCTCCAACATCTTGTGCCAGCTAAGGCAGTGTTGATAACATGAGACTTTGATCCTCAAGGATCTGTTTTGGGGCCACTGCTGTTTGTCATTTTTATAAATGACCTGGATGAGGGTGTAGAAGGATGGGTTAGTAAATTTGTGGATGACACCAAAGTCGGAGTTGTGGATAGTGCGGAAGGATGTTGCAGGTTACAGAGGGACATAGATAAACTGCAGAGCTGGGCTGAGAGGTGGCAAATGGAGTTTAATGCAGAAAAGTGTGAGGTGATTCACTTTGGAAGGAGTAACAGGAATACAGAGTACTGGGCTAATGGTAAGATTCTTGGTAGTGTGGATGAGCAGAGAGATCTCGGTGTCCATGTGCATAGATCACTGAAAGTTGCCACCCAGGTTGATAGCGTTGTTAAGAAGGTGTATGGTATGTTAGGTTTTATTGGTAGAGGGATTGAGTTTCGGAGCCATGAGGTCATGTTGCAGCTGTACAAAACTCTGGTGCGGCTGCACTTGGGGTATTGCGTACAGTTCTGGTCACTCCATTATAGGAAGGATGTGGAAGCATTGGAAAGGGTGCAGAGGAGATTTACCAGGATGTTGCCTGGTATGGAGGGAAGGTCTTATGAGGAAAGGCTGAGGGTCTTGAGGCTGTTTTCATTAGAGAGAAGGTTGAGGTGACTTGATAGACATACAAGATGATCAGAGGATTAGATAGGGTGGACAGTGGGAGCCTTTTTCCTCGGATGGTGATGGCTAGCACGAGGGGACATAGCCTTAAATTGAGGGGTGATTGATAATAGGACAGATGTCAGAGGTAGGTTCTTACTCAGAGTAATAAGGGCGTGGAATGCCCTGGCTACAACAGTAGTAGACTTGCCAACTTTAAGGGCATTTAAATGGTCATTGGATAAACATTTGGATGATAATGGAATAGTTTAGGTTAGATGGGCTTCAGATTGGTTTCACAGGTCGGCACAACATCAAGGGCCAAAGGGCCTGTACTGCACTGTTGTGTTCTATGATTGCTAAATCTAAATTAAAACTCCAGTACTGGAATTTGCTCAGGTCAGTCTGTGTGGTTTTTTGTTTCACGATAACATCAGAACTGAACTTGTCCTTTTTTTTTTTAGGACTGGCAAGATTCCTGTTGATGAACTTGAACAAACAAATGTGCCCCATGTTTATGCCATTGGTGACATTCTGGAGGGGAAGTTGCAGCTCACACCAGTGGCTATTCAGGCTGGCCGCTTACTGGCCAATAGGCTATACGGAGGGTCCACTGTCAAGGTACTGACTAAACGCTTTAATTGCCTGCTTTTGCAAAAATGCAAAAGTTGCTTAATGTTTTTAAGGGTAATGACTTCCATGTGCCCATCACCAAACTGTAGACTTCCCAATCAACAACTTCCTGTTTAATTTCTGGACAAGTTGGTGAATGTTCAATTTGTTCTCCATGTCTGACACCCATTCTGTGGCTGAAATAGTGGAATTTGTCCATGCAGTGGGCTGTGAAGGCTGGGTTGTTAACTATTTTTATGGTTACAATACAGATTTCTAAACTTTAAGATCTGAAGATTCAGATCAGCCATGATCACATTGAATGGCAAAGCAGACTCAATGGTGTGAATGGCTGACTTCTATGTCTTGGGTTCTTAAACTATTTCTCCAGATTCAAGAAAAAGCTAACTCTTTTACATAAGTACCCCTAAACAAGTGCTCTAAATGGAATAGTGACATTAGTAGTTTGTTTACTAGTTCAGTAAACAAAAGGGCCTGGAAACTTTCAGAAATGGGCCCAAAATCCTGTAATGACTCTTTATCCAGGTTCATGAATCTGGCATGGTTTTATGACCACTGGTAAACTACATGTGTTTAAAGGCCATTTGGGAAGAAATCTGCATCTGTGTCCAGTATGAGTCAAGATTTTAGGTCTCTGAAATGCCCCAGCAATTTGCTTGAGTTGGATCGAAGCACTAAACTTAGTTGCATTTTTCTGTACCTGCACCATAGACCATCCCCCTCAACCCTTTTGTTGCAGGAAATTGGGGGATCAGGAATAAATATTCATGCCAACAATTGCTACATCCAAGAATTAAAATAAGTTTTTCATCTAAGAATTGCCAAAGTGCTTTACAAAAGTTTCTAGCCAACATACTGGAGTTTTACAGATGAATGTGAAGGACTTCTCAAATTTTTTTAAAGCTGTTCTTCAGTATTGACTCAATTTAATTCAAATTCCATGATTTCAAGTGAATTTTGCATTTCATCTTTACTGTATTTTAAATCACCAAATGTATTAACAGAAAACTAGATAGAATTGCAGAGTATGGTCTCCCAATATTGGAAAAACTCAGTTCCACCTTGAATCAACTCCATTGTTGGTCCTGAAAGTGACTAGGATCCCAAACAATGCAGCGTAAATCTGTCTGGATAGTTCACTTCATTATAAATGAAGTGTTAACCATCTAGGGCAAAGTTGAGTCTACCTAAACTTCTCCAACTTGTAAGGTGCTTTTTTTTTTAAAAAAAAAAATAAAAAAAACCTGATCTAGCTTTCAATTACATGGTTTGGTATGGTTATTTAATTTTAACATCTCGGGCACAAACTCCACAGAAAAGTTCATTCTGCCAAGAAACTGACCTCTAAGAAATCCCCATAAGAATGCAATGAGAATGATCCCAAACAAGAATGCTTTGAGTCAAACTGTTCCAATTATGTTGACTTAGTTTTTTTTTTCTCAAATCAACAGTGTGACTATGTGAATGTACCCACCACTGTCTTCACTCCCTTGGAATATGGAGCCTGTGGCCTTGCAGAGGAGAAAGCTATAGAAATACACGGGAGAGAGAATTTGGATGTAAGTCATCAGATTCAGTGGAAAATGCTACCTGTTGTGGCTCACAGAAACTGACAGTCCAACCTTTTTTCTCTTTACAGGTCTATCACAGTTATTTTTGGCCTCTAGAGTGGACTGTCCCAACCAGGGATAACAACAAATGTTATGCCAAGATTATCTGCAACAAACAAGACAATGTATGTACCTCCATTGCTAAACTGGATATTTTTGGCTGAAAGCTATTTTAGAAGTGTAATTTTTTCTTTTTGAAAAGAAGCTGTACTGAGTTTGTGTGCTCCAGTTTCTACAGTGGCCCGCAAAACCTACAGTCTGCCCTCGTGCTTGTCTTTGCTAGTGAGAAGCAAAAAGTAGACATGTTGCCTGCCTTGTCTATTAAAGGTGGTAGAAGGAGGAAATTATAACTGGGCCAAGTCAGCCCTTCAAACTTGCTTCATTGCAAGTAAGATATGGTCTAAACCTCCACTACATATTCCTGACAAAGAATTGATCTTACTGTACCTTTTTGAAATGCAAAGATTCTGTGTCCAGTGTCTTTTTGAGCAAGTGTTCCAAACAGCCACTCTCCACCATTTATCTGGTCTTGAGTGAGCATCTCCTAGTTGTAGACTGTCTTACCACACAGAATCTTCTGTCGTGATCTTTGAGGACTTACCTGTTTTTTTTTTTCTTTTTTCTCGATCAAATCGCTTGTTACTTGGCACAGTCCTAACCAGTCCAATATTTCCTCCAGTGCTACCTCTACATTCTGAGTACTTGTCTAGTTGACCTTTTGCCTAACTGCTTCCAAAGCATTTGTCCCCCCTTAAATAGGGAGACTGATACTCTGTGGTCTTGCTTGTACCTGTATAACTGACACATTAACACTGACTTTTCCTGTTGTGTTTCTCTCCAATAAACTTAATTCATTTTCCTAATTACTTGTATCTGCATATTAGCCTTTTGCAAGCCATGTGCTAGACACCCAAATTGATGCTTTGCATTCCCTCCCTGTTTTGAGATGATATCTTGCTATTGTATTCTTCCTGCCAAAATCGACCATTATCCTATTTTCCACCACTCTGAAAGATTTATTGAATTGGTTAGTTCACTTGCTTATCCTATTAATCCCTTTTTTCATAGCCTGTTTTTCACTGTTCTTCCATCATATCAGGGACAATAGTGTTGAGGGGTTTGAAAGGTACCTCTGTTTTCCTCTGGCTGTAAGTGAGGGTTAAGTCTATGCTTTTTTTTTCAGAATCGGGTAATAGGTTTCCATGTATTGGGCCCGAATGCAGGAGAAATCACTCAGGGATTTGGAGCCGCGATAAAATGTGGAATAACCAAGGAACAGTTGGACAGTACAATAGGAATTCACCCAGTCTGTGCAGAGGTATTCACAACATTTTAAGCTCTAATGCTGTTGATTTTTGAGCTGCTTGTTCAATGGATTTTTAAATAGTGTACTTTTATGTGGCTTCCTTAATGGGTACAGCCATGACTTGCTCTCTATGGTATCCCTTTTAATGTAGTCGAATATCCCATACTTCATGGGAGTAATTATCAAACAATTTGACTTTGATCCAAGGAGGGAGATAGTTGAACTAAAGCCATTTGAGAACTTTATTGAAATGCAAAGGCATTTAAGAGAATTAATGCCAGTAACTAACTAACTGCAGTTTAGTGGCCATCTACTGATGCTTTGAATCCTAAAGGAATTCAACAGGGTAGATCTGTGGGACCATTATCCCTCCTGGTGGAGGATTGAGAACCAAGAAATCAGTTAATAGATGTTTGGAGTGAGCTTGGGAGCGGAAATCTTAAACCATCACACTCAGGTTTTGAAAGCTGGATGACACTTAGGCTTTCAAGACTGAGATTGATAGTGTTGAGAAATGTCCGGTTCAGATGGTGAGATGAGGTGAGTTACAGACTACCTAATCAACTGGGTTAGCTTGAGGAGCTGAACAGCTTCTGTTCCGAAACTTTTTAATTCTGTAAATCTGTGAAGGCAGTTCACAAGTGAAACCAATGTCTACTGATCTTGTTCTAGTATTACTACCTACTTTGGTAAACAATTAACACTTGTGTAAAAATTTGACAATTGGAATACTTTTTTGTTCCACAACGTACTCTTGAAAAAACAGCAGTCATAAGTGCAATGGTTAAGTCAGTAAGAAAGACCCGGATACTAAATGTGGTTCTGTCTATAATCCACTTGATATCGAGGTGCTGCTGGTCCACTGGAGTGGATAGTCACATGACTAAGTTACAGTCCAGCAGGTTTATTTGAAATACAAGCTTTTGGTGCACTGCTTGTTCGTCAGGTGCACTTAGCAAATAAAACTGAATTATAATGCCGAGTGTAAGCCCTCAGCAGCTTTCTGCTGTGACATGATTAACTGACTTGAGAATTACAAATGAATGCTTCAACATTTGCATATGCTGTTTTTGAAAAAGTATAAATATTCAATTAACAATTTGCCTCAAAGACTTGGAATTCAGATTTAATGCTGAGGTAGTTAGACTTTTTTCTCATATCTTGCTACACCTTTTGTCTTTAAAGTACTGTTTTGACTAATTACCTGTATTGATGTTTAATTTTTTTTTGGGCTTTGGATCAAATCAATTCTTGGATTTTTTTTTCTTTTGTAAGGAGTTTCTTTTGAAGAATCCATTTTGAGTGTTTCTCTTTCGGTCTACAACTTCAAAAGCTCAATGCATCTCTTTCTCAAAACAAATACTTCTGTATGCCTTGCTGTTAAAATAACATCCATTTGTTTTGGTTTCACAAAGATGCTATAAATCTTGAGGGTATGATTTAATGATTAAAGGTTAAGTAACTTAGGCTTATACACTAGAGTTTAGGATGTAATTGCCATCAAGCCAAGGAATCAATCTCTCTCTATGGAGAGTGCAGAAGGATGTGTTAGGAGCAGCACCAGACATCATTAAAAATGAAATGTCAAACTGATGAAGCTACAAAAATCTAAGCCACAAGTGATGGGTGTAAAAACTATTGATCAATCAACAAATCAGAACTCAGCTTTACAGATCTATGTCCATTCACAAATGGTGGTTGATTAATGAAAGGGGTGGCAGCTCAAATATCTCCAGCCTGCATGATTAAGCCTAGTGCATCAGTGTAGAAGAGGAGGCTGAAACACTTGTAGCAATCCTTGGCTGGACACGCTGAGAGTGGAAACATAGGTCAGATATCCAACAGTGCTTCAGAAAACAGGAAGTAGTGTTTTTAGTGTCATGGTGCAATGATAGCGACCCCTCTCTGTCAGCAAAACAAAAGAGCTGATCGTCCTCTTCAAGAAGAAAGGAGGAGGACATGCCCCTATCCACATCTCCAGCTCAGGTAGAAATGGTCAAGTTTCTAGGATTGATGACCGACCATCTGTTGTGGGCCTCCATATTGATGCAGTGGTCAAGAAGATGACAATGCCTTTTTCTTCCCTCAGAAGGCTTAGGAAATTCAGTGTGACCATAAGGAGCCTCACCAACTTTTACAGATGCACCATTGAAAGCATGTATCCTGCTGCATTGTGCACTGGTAGGACAACTGCTCTATCCAGGATCATAAGACTACAAAGGTGTGTGCACAGCCCAGACCATCCTGGAAGCCAACCTCCTGTCCATGAACTTTACCTACACTAATACTTGCAATGGAAAGGTGGCCAACCAAGACCCCTTCAACCCCTTCCGTCGGGCAGAAGGTACAGAAGCTTGAACACATGCACCAACAGGCTCAAGATCAACTACTTCCCTACTGTAATAGACTGCTGAATGGACCTATCTAATGCTGACCTTGCTTTTGTGCACTTCCTGTGCAGTTGTCATCTTGTATGCCTCACTGAGCACCTTTATGATCTGTATGACCTTGTTTGCTATGATATGCCTGTACTGCTAACAAAACTGCTCACTACTTCAGTACATGAGACAACAATAAATCATCACCACCTCCTCCAGAGATCCTCGGTCTCAGATGCCAGTCTTCAGTGAATTTGACTCCATGATTGCAAGAGGCATTTGGAAGCTCCAGATACTACAAGCATGGCCTCTGGCAACATTATAGCAATAGTGCTGAAGACTGTGCTGCAGAACTTGACAGTCCCTGACCTGAGCTATTCCAGTACAGCTACTGTACTGCATCTATTTAACAATGGTGGGGTAGGGGAAGAAAGTCTGTATGTCACATACACTGGATATGTCCAGCCAATTACTGCCCTATCAATGTAGTCTTCATCAGGAAGAGGGTTATCAACACTGCTATTGAGCAGTACTGGCTTGGCGTCATTGAGCAGGTTGTTTTTGTTTTTGTTCTACAAGGGTCATGACTCCTGACCTCCCCTTTGTGTCACTGTAAAAATTGTGATTTATTGGTAATCTCTACTGAAGGATACCTGCACAGAGATCCTAGCTCAACCATCTTCAGCTGTTTTGACCTTTTTTTTCCTCCAAGGTCAGAAGCAGCAATATTTGTTGCTGTATGAACTGTTCTGCATCATTCATAACTGCCTGGGATGCTGCATTGGGACCCAAATAATATATCCAGGCTTGGGCTGACCAGCAGCAGGCAGCTTTTTTTGTGCTAAAGAGGTGCCAGGCCATTAGTGTAACCATTCACCATTAGGGTGATAAATGCTAGCCTAGCCATCAAAGCTACTATCTTGAATGATCTCTTTTAAAAACATACAGGAAAGCTGAGGGAATGGAGCCTCTATTCAATCCAGTAGAACTAATATTCTTCACTTCAGACTGAGATGAAAGTGGACATTTTTCTCAATCATTTGGAAATCTTCTCTTTTCCCCCCCACCCACAGTTGAGGATACTCAGTCATTAAGATTTTTTTGAGGCTAACTGATACAACACTCACTACCTGCATTAAGTGGTATCACTGGTGTGAAACGCATCTACAGTAGGGAATGTGATCCCTCTAGTCTGCTCCACCATCTGGTCCAATTGTGGCTTTAACTTTTCCTGCCTTGCTTCCTAACCCTAGTCAGTCTGACTGCATCTTTTTGTGGTCAATAACTTTGCCTCCACCTGGTCTGTGTAAAGGATAGTATACCCTGTTCTTCAACATGCATTGACTGAGCAGTGGAGAGGCTCAGTCTGTCCTTGATCACTTAGAGGGTAAACAGTCATGGAAAGTGAATGAGCTGCCCTGCAGCCATGTCCCACCCAGCAATGTTGGTTTGTAAGTTGTATTTAAGAAATTCTCATCTTTGGGTTGGTGCTTGGAAAATGAGCCTGAAATCTGATTGGGTGTTAGTGATTCAGTTGGTTTTCTTTTAACTGGTGGCATTAAGCCCTACATGTGACTCCAGTCCTCGAATGGAGTCAGTTTCCACTAATTTAGGGTATAAGCACTTTTTTATCTCCAATGGTCTTTTTAATGTTCTCTGCCTGATAGTTTAAGTCATTGACATCTGGACTTACTGAGGTGGGCCAGCATTCATTGTTCATCCCTAGTTGCCCTCAAGATGTTAGTGAGCTGCCTTGAACTTCTACAGTCAGTAGGATGTACATAACTCCATATTCCTGTTAAGGAAGGAGTTGTGATTTTTGATTCAGGAACAATGATATACTTCCAAGTCAGGATGGCGATTGGCATGAAGAGGAACTTGCATTGGTGTATCTGCTCCTCCTTCCTCCTGGATGTAAGTGGATGTGGGTTTGGAAGTTAGTGTAAGGAACTTTGCTGAATTTGTGCTTTATGTAGATGATGGCAGCAGTGGCTGGAGGGAGTGGATGTGGGCCCAGTCAAGGGGCTGCTTTGTTCTGGATGGTGTCAAGTTTCTTGTACTGGTGCGACAAGCAAATGAAGAAAGGCAAGTCAGCCATGGTGACAACTATCAGATACATGAAGGGGGAAGCTATTTAAATGCACAAGGTAGTGAAGCCAATGCTGTCCTGGAGGTAAATAGGAAGATTTCCTTGTGTGGAGCATAAAACATCACCTGTACTGTATCTTCTATGTTAAAAACAGTTTGTGGCTCCCCTGCAGGTTAAAGTTCAAAAAAATGTCATGACTGTTTTTTTAATTGTGCTTTCTCTCCCCACATACTGTCAGACCTGAGTTTCTCCTGCGACTTTGTTTTTGCAAGATAAACCATACTTGGTTTAATCTACTTTTCTAGATAAGTATTTATAACCAATTTTAAAAATGAAAATTTTTTTCTTTTTTTAGGTGTTCACAACATTATCAGTCACAAAGGAGTCTGGTGGTAACATCGAACAGTCTGGCTGCTGAGGTTAAACCCTGCTGTTGTCACTTTGCCATAATGGATTGTTTTGTCTCCACGGGCAACGCTCAGTTCATGTAAGCCCATCAATCTTTGTGGTGAAGACTCCATTCCTTGTTTTCCAGCTACTGTGGAGGACTCTGCAATGGTGTGAGGAAATGTGAACATCCATTTGGCAATTAGTACAATGGTGGGGTTATTAAGAATCCAATGAAATAAGCTGCTGCTCTGTAGGAGCATCAACCCTGATGCTTTCATGAAGTCCAGGCCTGGAACCAGTTTCAAATGGAAGGCTGCGATGGAAAAACTGCAAGCACAGTTTAGCAATTCTCAGTAAACTCAGATATCAAGGGCTTCCACTATCACTGGAGAACTCTCAGCAGACCAAAATTAAACTAGAAAGGGGGGTGGGAAATGACAAAATTAGTGTATTTTCCATACTTTCCACTACCTGGACACTGGTGTTTTCTTTCTTCTATATAATACTGCTGTAGATGTCACCATCTTTTTCACCCTTAAGTGAATTGTTTTTAAACAGTTTTAATACTGAAGCTGAATATATTCATTCTGATTCTAATATTTTGCATTTGGTCTAATGGGAGTGAAGTTTGTCTTGGGTAATTGGTGAATAGTCAGCTCACTTTGTCTGTGCAGGCACAATGTGAAAAGTTTTTATTGAAGGGATGTTTTATGGTTGTCCACCAGTCACTTCATCCCCAACATCTTTAGACTTTGGGCATTAATTCACAGCAGTATCATTCATTCCTAGCAGACTTGCTGTTGCACCTAGGATGAGGACTGCAACATGCTGTTGTTTACAGTAGGTTTTTTAATGTACCAGTCCACTGTCCTTTCTATTTGGCACTCATCACAATCTGTCTTCTTCACAGCCCACTTTGTTTTTCCTTCTGGTGAATTAAAGTCTTGTAATCTACCACTTAATGTGAGTGTGTTTGGATATTTTTGTGTAAGTTTTTTTTTTTTGTCCACACCTTTTCACGAAGGTTGTGGTGTAAATCTGAAGGAAAATAGGATGAGGTGTGTTTTTTTTTTTTTTTTCTTTGCTTCAGGATCTAGTCAGGTTTTGAATTTGAACAACTTTTTTACAACATGTGAAGCTAACTACTTCTCCACCACTGCTGCAAGTGTAAACTTGAACTTGTAACCTCAGGCTTAGAACTACAACCTTGAACTTGGAACCTAGGAGCAGACATTAATGAGATGCCATTCCAGCCAAAAGGCTTCTTTCCCCTGTGCTGGAACACTTTTTTTTTTTGTGTACAAACACAGCCTGGGTTTTAATTTTCAAGATGGTTTTGTAAGTGTATTGGGGGAAATTCTAGTTGGTTCAGGCAAACATCCTGCTATTGCAATCATTGATCATAAAACATGCACTCAAAACCCTTGTTTTTTCAGTCCTTTTTGAATTATTGCACTCTACATCTTTTATAGCTTCAAGCACCATTACCCAGTCCCAGAGTGCACATCTGCAATGCATGTTGGTTGCATCCAGACAGTGAAGAGGGCACTTTTTTTTTTGCTTGAGGAGCACTGACCTTACTTAGTGCCTGCCTGCAGTATTTGCAAGCCTACAAGGATTTTACACTTTTTGGATGTTGTCCGATTAATACTATATTTGCTACAACACTTCGTGATTAGAAATAGTGAGTTGTTCAGTTATAATTGTCAGAAGTATTTGTGGTTGCCTTTGTCAATATTTAATCAAAATTGCATCATCCTTAAATTACTTCTCTGCATCTATCTTGAACAAGTGACTCCTGCAACTTGCCATGTACAAAATTTTAAAATGTATTGTTACAAAACTGATATGTCTTGCATATTAAAAATCTGAAATGAGAAATTGTCTCTTTGTCTGTCCCAGTGAAGGTTAATGAATAATGGGGCTAGGTGGTACCATGGAAGGGTGGCCAGGAGGGGTGATGGGTGGAGTGCATGATGGAAAGTTGATGTTGGTTTGTTTTTGGTTTTTTTCTCTCCCTTTTTTGGTTTTTGCCAAATCACATGCCACTATTGGGTTTCTGGCAACTTCCCCTGGCTGAATTGCTTTAGAAACAAGCAAGCAGTTCTTCCAGAACAAGGTGCTTCTGGGGTCATCTGTCTTCACTGTATACATCAGTGAAATAACCTTCCTGAATTTCATAGGTGTTTGTGATAGTGAAGCAGTCACCATCAGACATGCACCTTCACCTTCACCATCTCACTCAGAGCTGGGGCATTCCTCCCCAATGATCATCCCACAAAGTCAGTCTCACACCAAGAATGTGATAACCTTGAAAGTAATCAAAAAGAATGCTAAGTTGGCACAGTGGTCAGCAATGTTGCCTCAAAGCGCTGGGGGCTGCATTCAATACCAGCCTCTGCAAAATCTACACAGATTTTTCCCTGTGTAGTGTGGGCTTCCTCTAGGTGCTCAGGTTTCCTTCCACAGTGCAAAGATGTGCAAGTTAGGTGGATTGGCCATGGGGGAAATACAGGGTTACAGGGATAGGGTAGGGGTGGATCTGGGTGGGATCCTCTCCAGGTTAATGTAGACTCTGGACCAAATGGTCTCTTTCTGTACTAAGAATTGTAATCCATGATCTTCCCTTGTTACTACTTGGATGAACCTTGATTTGCATGTATTAGCTGCTGCATTTCTGACATCTGCATTGACTAGCTGTTTTGAAAGGTTTTTTGGTTTTGGCATGCCCGGTGAAACTAGCAGTAATTCCAGAATTTGAGGCCTCAAAGTAACTGTAGGCATTTCTACAACTCGTGGGATGAGTCAAAATGGGGGACATTGCTGTGACTAGGATTGGAGCTTGTTAGACATACAGCACAGAAACAGATTCTTTTGGTCCAACCAGTCTATGTTGACCATAATCCCAGACTAAACTAGTCCTGTCTGCTCCTAGTCGCAATTGTAACTGTACCTATATCCACCACTTCCTTGGAAGTTTTTTCCACATGCGAACCACCTTCTCGCCTTTTTTGTTTTTTTTTTTTTTAAAAAAAAAAAAAAAAAAATGGGCTTAGAGGTAGGTGTTATTTCCCCATTCTAGGGAAATGACACATACCACTAACCCATGATTACCCTTATTTGATTAGCCTTCTATAGTCACCTTTTGACCTCCAATGCTTGGAGGGTGGGAGAAAGGAGTCCCAGCCTTTATAAACTTGAACCTTCCATACCCAGCAACATCCCAGTGAATCTCTTCTGAACTTGTTCTAGCTTAATATCCTTCATATAACTGGCTGACTAGAACTGGATAGGGTACTCCAGAAGAGGCCTCACAGAAGTTCTGTACAACCTCAACGTGGCTTCCAAACTGCAGGAGATTAGAGGCTTGGGAATGTATGGGCTAAGGGACCTCTGCAGCACTTTTTTGACAGTTGATGCCAGACTTAGTGAGGTTTCTCCAGTTTGGTTTTTTAAATTTTCAAGTTTGAAGATCTTTCAATATCTTCCCCCTCTGTCCTTTGAATAGAAGATAGTGAGTGGTAACGGTTGTAGAGAAGATGAAGTGTAGATCTGGGTAAGTGCTAGTGAAGTAAAACCACATTAAACCGGAAAGCTGGGGTAATCTCCAAACAGGCTGGTGAGTTTATTGATTGCAGATCATTGAAATGTTAGGGTCTGAAGTCCATAAGTGTCTAAAGGGAAAGTGAGGAGCTGTTCATACAGCTTGCATTGTCACTCTGGATCACTGGTCCAGACCTAAGACAAATGAGTAGGACTGTGTGTTGCAGTGCCAAGCAACTGGAAGGTTAGGGTCATGCTTGCAGACTGGATGGAGGTATTCTGCAAAGTGCTCAGCCTTCCCTAATGTAGAGGAGACTGCTTTGAGAAGTGGATTTTATAGACTGGGTTGGAAGAAATACAAGTTAAATAGTTACTTCATCTGCAAATAGGGCCTTGGACAGTGAGGAGGTAAAAGGATGAGTGTTTACTTCTGTAACTGCACTGGTGCTGTGGGGGAGATCAGGCTGCTAGACATACTGGGGGTAATGGAGTGGGACAGGTTGTAGCAGAGGAAACAGTCCCTTCAGAATGATGGGCAGCTCTATTTGGTGATGGTATGCAGCAGATAGAGGATGATCCTTTGAAAACACGTTTGTGTTTTTTTTAAACAGCCTGCCAGTTGCTGAGATGTATGGTCTACATTCCTGTTATCGCACCAACACAAACTCATCGCGTTGTGTCTTTGTGTGGTGTCTGAGATTTGTGGTCGAGGTAGGTTTTAATTGAGGCATTCAAAAATGTATGTGTGCAGTGTTGCATGGGGATGGGTAGGAGAAAGACACTAAGTGAGATGTTCCTTTGAAGTGCTGATGTGGACACAATGGACAAAAGGGTCTGTTACTGCACACAATTAGATCTGGGACGGTGTGCATGAATGAGCATTGGGCTCCTAGTGAAGGAGGGCCAATGATGGGGTCAGAGTTAAGGGCCTCAGTGATGCATCAGTACTAGCACCAGTTAGTTTATGCATCTGAATGTGTTAAAGTTCAATATTATTAAGAGTATGCTGGGAAATGGATAATGGGCCAACTATTACAGAATTTCAACACTCAAAGGTAGTTATATCGAAGAATTAAAATGTATTGATAGTGAAATGCATTTCACATCCAGCATTACAACTAAAAGTGTAACAATTCCAAAGAAATGTCAACTTTTTAAGAGGAAAGTAAAATATGCTGCTTCAGCCAGCATGAATATTGAGTAGTAAACATTAATAAAAGACATTTCATAAACATCCGCTGATATTTCGAACAGAATTCCTGCTTTAGTTATGAATATTAATAAATGAATATTTATACAAGTTTTTTCTGAAGCAATGAAAAGCTTGATTTGTTTATTTGCATAATAATAGCATTAGCTTCAATTAAAATGCATTTAATGCAATAGAATGGAAAATACCATTCATCCATTTAATAAATTAATGTTAAAATTAGTCATGTTTTTTGATGTCCTCATTATTCTAGAATAATTTGCCAAATGGAAATATTCAACTCCTTAATCCCAAAGATAGGAACCTTGAGTACAAATTTAAGTGTCACATTGTGCAGAGCTGGATGAACACAGCATCTGATGAAGGGTCTAGGCCCGAAACATCAGCCTTTCTGCTCCTATGATGCTGCTTGGCCTGCTGTGTTCATCCAACTCTGCACCTTGTTGTCTTGGATTCTCCAGCATCTGCAGTTCCTGCTATCTAAGTGTCACATTGTGTTCGGTTTCATATGATCAATCAGTGGGCTGTTTTCTTTCCTAAAACAACAGTGCAATTTAAAAGGAAAGAGCCACCTTCTTCAAATGCAGTAGTACTTTCATTAATGAGATTTTGGTTAACCACTGACTAAACGTTTGCAGGTTAACACCCTGAATGTAGTAAAATCATAGAATCCCTAGAGTGTTGAAGCAGGCCATTTGGCCTGTCAAGTACATACAGACCCTCCAAACAGGATCCCACCCAGACCCCGCTACCCCCACCCACCAAATCCTATCCCTGTAACCCTGCATTTCGCCATGGCCAATACGCCTTGTCTGTACATCTCTCTATGCTATTAGCAATTTAGCATAGGCAATCCACCTAACCTGCATATCTTTGGACTGTGGGAGGAAACCCATGCTGACGGGGAGAATGTGCAGACGCCTCATAGACAGTCACCCAAAGCTGGAATTGAACCCAGGTCCAGGTCTGGATCCAAGTGGGATGCTCTTCAGAGGGTCAGTGTGGGCTCGATGGGCCAAATGGCCTCTTTCCACACTGTAGGGCTTCTATGATTCTATAATGGGTTTTCAGCCGCCCATCTCAGGGTCACTGGATTAATAGTCTAAGAGCATTGCTATTATGTTACTGTTTAGAACTTGGAAACGAATATATGATGGTCACTAATAATTCCAATAGGGAATTTGGAAGAAACTTCTTTATGCAGAGTGTGTTGACAATGTGAAGCGCATTGTCAGAAGGAGGCAAATAATACAAATGTATTTTAGTGAGGAAGGTGTAGATAACGCATGAGGAATTTGTTACCCCAAAGTGCAATGGATGCTGGGACAGTGAGTAAATTTAAGGAGGAGTTAGACAGATTTTTAATTGGTAATGGGTTGAAGGGTTATGGAGAGAAGACAGGAACATGGGGGTGAGGAGCATATCAGCCATGATCGAATGGCAGAGCAGACTTCGATGGGCCGAATGGCTTAATTCTGCCCCTATGTCTTATGAACTTATGAATTGAAGGTTATATTGATGGAGTTGTATGAGGAGAGATCATTGGAGGCTCATATGCAGCATAAATATTATGGCCTGTGAACTGAATGGCCTATCTTCGAACAATGAATGTATTATAGGGGCCACCACAGACCTTTGGTCACAGTAATAGTCATGAAACAATGGATAGATAGACTCAAGGTTCATTGATGACTTGTTCCCCAGATATACATACTCACAGTCAAATTCTTACCCAATTACTCTCAATTAATTAATAGTCAGCGCTTGTTCCTAGGCAACCCTACAAGGCAGTAGCATCAATGTTCACATAATCTGTTATAATTATGTTAGTTGAGTACAAGTACAGAAATCCACATTCATTTAGAAAGTTTAAGATCTCCAAGGATAATTTATAAATGATTTGTTTTCCTAGATGGACCACATTTTCCAAAACAGAAATCAATGCCTATTGTATCAATTCTATGCACAGTTGAAAGCCTGGATTTCACACCTCCAGCAACTCTGTAACATGTAATACCACTGACAACAGCTCTCAGATCAACCTAGTCTTTGTCACTTACAACAACAAGAGGACAGCTAGAGCTGAGTGGATTTGTCTCCAGAAACTCATCAAAGTGAATCTTTTCTT